TCTTCTCATGCCTTAAATAGTGCTCTCTCTTCCAAATAACTCCTTTGCGTATTACCATTCATGTAGGAGTAGCGACACATTTAAGAGTATTTACCAAAAGAACGTCAGAGTCCGAAAACTCCAGAATTGAACTTCAGTGTGCTTGAGCCCCTCTGTGGCCGTCCCTATGTCCTTTCACCGCTCTCCGAGTGTCTGGGGCGCCTGACAGACAAGGGTTCTCTCAGGACACAGGTTCAGGTGACGACCCTCATGGTGAGGGAGACGCCTGTGGCTTGGAGGCTCCATGAGGTCAAGGAGCACGAGCCTGAACTTCCTTCCATGGTGGGTGCATGTGACCGGGGCATTGGACAAGAGGGGCATCACGTAGATGACCCCAGCTGGAGGATAAGCTCCTCCAAAGACACAAGCCCCCTTTTCTCTGTACCACGTTACCCTGTGGTGCCTATTAGAGCGCTGAGTCTACAGAGAGCATCACCCCGGGATATTGCTGGCAGGGCGGGGACCGAAGGCACGCCAGGGGGACAAAACAGCGCTGCCAGCATCAGCTCGGCACTGGCTGGGGAAGGCCCTGCTCCAGCCACCAAAAGTGTCCCTTTTTTTCCCCTGACTTTGCTTCCCTTGCCTTTTCTCCCTCCTTCTCCTGTAATAATGTCAGATAAAGGAAAAGGTTGCAGCGTCCGCATCGTTTAGAAATTACAAAGACACAAAGAGAGTATTTCATCAAAATCCCACGTGGCGTGTGTGTGCTGCCGGTCCACCTCCCCTGCAAGGCAGGTAGCTGCATCAGGCGGAGATGTGTCTCAGGTGACCTCCCTTAAAGACGGGCCTTGGTGACATTACTATTGTAATGACGGTAGTGGCTTCACAGACACGAGCTGAGCTCATCACCGGCCGTCCAGATGCAAGACGGGGATCTATACATCCCAGTTCTGACCAATGTGGAGCCCGGAGAGAGGCCCCAGAGAAGGACAGCTTAAAGAGGGTTATATAGGAAAATAAAGTATGCGTGTGATGACACACATTGCCTCTGTCATCAGCAATCTCGGCATTCAGAATGATAAATGCACTTACAATAGTCCCTAACCAGGCACAACTTTCAAGCAGTCCCTGCATGAAACCATCTCCAAGAAGAAAAACTACTCTGCTTGCATAGTATCCTTCTAGAAAAGCCGTGTGGCTTAAACCGTTGTTATAGTCCTATTTGTTTGGTTATAAATAAAACATTATCTCTTCCATCACCAGTGTATCTTTCCAGCTGCTGGACATAAAACAGATTCCGAGCTTCCTAAATGGAAATGTCATCTTCCTAATCAGAAATGACAATTGTAAATAACCATCTGTTTTGTTTGGGTTTTTTTTTTAAGTGCCTATTCTCACCAGCGCACTTTCCACCGGCATCACGTGTATTTAAAATGGCGAGCTCCAGGTCAGATTCGCAAAGAAACCAGCAGCGTGGCCGTTTTGAAATGAAGGCCGCTGCTCACCTGCTTCTCAGCGTGGTTGGCACTAACCCATGCCCGTCATCATTCCAGCACGCAGAAGTAAATTTTCTTTAGATTGACATGGTGAGAGGAGAAGAGAGACCCTGCAGTCAGGATCGCCCACGCGGGAGGACATGGTATCAATCCACTTGGAGGAACTTTCCAGGAAGGTCTTTGGGTTGAATTAAGAGAGAAGAACGAGGCTTGTGTGTGTGACTGTGTGTTGGGGGGCGGTGGAGGTCACTGATATGTGTTACAGGTTTAAAGAATAGATCTTAAGGAACAAAGTCAAAAAGAAGACAGGACCAGGGAGTCAGAAGAAGGGGCAGGAGGGGAAGGGTAGAGACAGATAACAGGTGACAAGGGAGATCAATATCAGAGAATGCGTCTTTCCCGATTCTGATTGGAATGGGGAAGAATGTGTGTGCCCCTTCCTGAGAGACCACTCCTGCTTCTGCAACAGGCAGACTCAGGGGGAAGGTGGCACAGCCCACACTTGCCCACAACAGACAAGCCCACAGCACAAACCGTGGGGGGCACAGGGCAGTTATAACTGGTGACGGGGCCGAGCAGTGACAGCCTCGGTCCAATTCCTTATGGCAAAGATACGTGAATTAATCCCGGATAAATGGTGCCTTTTGTCAGCATATTAGCCTAAAGGTCAAGAACTGAATAGATCACGGGACAGACATATTTTCCTGATGGAGGCAGAGGGGGGGCTGGAAAGTCTGCACACAATGGAAAGCTTAACGCACCCTGTTTTTCCCACTGACTTCCAGAATGCTACAGAGACAGCCGCACTTTATTTCAATAATGACCTATTCTTGCTTTTTGAAAAATATTTAACTGTAGGAGTGAGCAAAACTATGTAGCTTTTTTGTGTCTCAGCAGTGTAGAAACCCAAATGATAAAAAGAACAGAACACAATAGAAGTTGCTTATTCAGAAAGTGACTTGGAGTTGGTATCTTTGGTGCTTGCAGAATGGGTATCGCTGGGGCGGAAAAAAGCCCAAGAAGGAACCCATTCCCCTGTTCCGTGTGCTGGAATGATGACAAGGCCATGGGTTAGTGCAAACCACGCTGAGAAGCAGGTGAGCAGTGTGGCTTCCATTTCAAAACAGCCACATTGCAGGTTTCTTCGAGAATCTGACCTGGAGCTCGCCATTTTAAATACACGTGATGCCGGTGGAAAGTACGCTGGTGAGAACAGGGCACTTAAAGCAAAACAAAACAGATGGTAATTTACAATCATCCAAAAAAAAGATTTTCACCCTATTTCTTTTAAGGAAAAGATAAACTTTTTAGAAATGGGGTGAAAATCTTTTTTCAAACATCTAACCTGTTGTTTGTTCCGCAATAATGCTTTGCTATTTGGTTATTTTGGATGATCAACTACCCTGTACCTCAAACTAGCTGAGATCATGCTCACCGTGCGATCATAGAAAGGTTTCTATCATGAGCAAGAAAACCCCCCCATAATTATAATGGCTTTGTGTTGTAGGGTCATTTGTTATGAAAATTGATATACGCTAAAGCTGTGTGACGGTAATCTCTTTCTGTCTCTGAAAATTAGTACTATTTCTTCCTGTCTTCACCTCATTATGAGAAACTCATGAGGAAAACAATTCATTTTCCCTATGCTATCGAAGACAGCGGTAGTTCTCTAGAACGTTTCTGGAAAAGGCAAGCAGAAGAACTGCTTATCTCTGCTACATGGGATTGTGACTGTTAACTTTTAATACTGGCCTGAACCACAGCTCAGTCTTTTCTTAAGTGTCCAGAATAACTGGGGGGAAAGTGTGAAATACCATTTTGCCCTCGATTAGTTTCACATTCGAGCAAGACCAACATTTTGGAGCCATCCTTGAAATATGGATAGAACAAGGACTTTTATCTGGCGAAGTACATTTTCGGGTTGCAGCTACCTGGAGTGGCTGTGGCCTGAGCTCACGGCCCATTGACTGCACCCTGCTTCAGCAGAGATGCCACAGGGTGATGTCAGCAGCTCGGCAGAGGCATGGTACCACTCAGCTACCTGGGAGAACAGATGTGGTTGATGCCTTGGAAATCTGGGAGTAAAGTACGACAGGAATGCATGTCCTTATTTGGGGGCCGCCTGTGGGGGGCTCAGTTGGTTGAGCATTTGACTTGATTTTGGCTCAGGCCGTTATCTCACGGTTCGTGGGTTCAAGCCCCACATTGGGCTCTCTGCTAACAGTGCAGAGCCTGCTTGGGATTCTCTCTCCTCTTTCTCTCTGCCCCATCCCCACTTGCTCTCTCTTTCTCTCTCTCTCTCTCTAAAATAAATAAATAAACTTAAAAAAGAAAAGACACTATTGGGGAAAAACCCGTGGAATTTCTATACTCTGCCTTGAAGCAATGGGTCTCCATTTTAGTCCGACTTCTACACATCTGGGTCATTTTGCAGCCAGGCTGCATGTGATCACATACTTCTCCTCCAAATGATTTGAGACAGAGTTTGCAGATCTGGGTCCCTGAGGCTGCATAAGACCAATGCTGGCATTTCCTTCCCTTGTGGAGTCTGAGAGGTAGCTGCGGGGGTCACTTCAAGGCTTGGTGTTGGCCGGGACCTCCAGGCACTGAGTCCTCCACCTAGGCAGTGACACTCAGTCCCTGGGAAATGGTAACTAATAGCCATTGTCCAAAGGTTCAGTGGTGAGCAAGGTGAGAGCATCTAGTGCAGGAAATGCAGTTTCCTCCGAGCCCACCCACACCTGGGACAATGGCAATAATCGCAGGTAAGTGAACACATGTGGATCATTGACATTTGGAGGAGAAGGAGCAGACGGTGACAACAGCAGCGAAGACAGGGATGAGCTAAGCCTCTCCTTCCAGAGTGTATGCATTTAAGCCGCATGGGGCCAACCCCCTAACCTGACCACAGACTGCTCACTTTAGGGTTTTTTTTAAATGTTTTTCATTTTTGAGAGAGACAGAGACAGAGTGTGAACAGAGGAGGGGCAGAGAGAGGGAGACACAGAATCAGAAGCAGGCTCCAGGCCTTCTGAGCTGTCAGCACGGAGCCCAATGTGAGGCTTGAACCCATGAACTGTTAGATGATGACCTGAGCCGAGCTGAAGTCAGACTCTTAACCAACTGAGCCACCCAGGCGCCCCCTGGGTGAAATACGCCACGTTGTGGCTTTGAAGAACTCAAGGTCTGAGAGAACACTCTTTGTAAGAGTCAAATTTGAGATTTGTGACCCATCGTGTCGCGGTGATTACCCCACTTTTGTTGATTCTGTGATTTCTTTAGTTTCGATAGCTTGTCATCAGCTCCAATCCGGGACTTTGTATTTTTATAGATTTGTCTCTCACTACCCCTAAAACTCTATAAGATCACAATTTTTTGTTAAAAACAAAACAAAACAAAACAAAAATGTTAAATGCTTGCGTCTCCTAACAAGCATGCAGAGAAAATGCCTAGAGCGATGTGTAGGATTTGGGGGCGGGGGGAGCTGCAGAATAACGGGTCTCTTTGTGTGTTTGCATGAACCAGTTAACTCCGGAGACGGTATCGACTACGGCCAGCAGAAGAGGGAGAACATCGGCGACCTGATCCAGGAGACGCTGGAGGTCTTGGAGCGCCGCGGGGGAGGAGATGCCTTCATCAACATCAAGTACATGGTCCCCACCTATGAGTCGTGCTTGCTCAACTAGAGGCAGGAACAGCTGGGATGGGGGAAGGCTTCCGTTAGTGCCCAGATCATCTGTCTCTGCTGCTTTTAGCATCTCATTACTTGTGACTTCTACAGCTTTCTCTTCTACAGCTGCTAAAATAGTGGCTTATGGGCCATTGGACCGTTAGCCCTATTGAGAGCAAGGCTTTCCAATACATAAATAGTGCCTGTTTCTTAGATTACAATAGTGTACTGTGCTTATTTGTTCTAAGAGAAGAATTGCTTCTTTATACAGCTCGGACAGAAGCAAAAGTCCGAGTCAAACCTTCAGTTGTATAGACAATAAAACTATAATTTTCATGCACAATTCAGCAATAGCTGTTGTGTGTCTGCTTGCCCTGAGGGTGATGTCAGAGGTTGTAAGGGAAGGGTTGGTGCTGACTGCTTAATAGGTGTTTGTCCTGGACGAGAAACGCCCTCTCCCAGCACCTCTGCAGCAGCTGTACCCAACGATGTTCTCTGACAGTCAATAAAACCGTTGAGTCTATGTGCCGATCGCGCAAGGACAGCGTTGCGGCCCGTTGTGAACCTCAGCTACAGACGTAATTAATGCCTGGAGCCCAGGGGTCATCTGGGCTTTGCGGGGGGCCTTCCAGGGTATGTTGGGGTGTGGGTGGGGAGGGCGACGGGCAGAGGGAGGCATGAAAGGCAACATGGCAAACGTGATGAAACAATGCTCGTATGAACACTTGTCCCTCCATGGGATGAGATGCCACATCTCAGGACGTGGTCTGTCTATTGACAAAATGTCACCCAGCCCCTCGTTCAGGGCTTTGATCATTTCTGGAAGTGACTTACAAGCATCCGAATGATTCTTTGGCAATTCCCCTTCCTCCCCCTTCTCTCGCCAGGTGATGTGTTCTCGTAGCACCTCTCTGTAGCTCTGAGGGTGGCATTGTGGGGTTTCATTGAACATACCCCAGCCCCCTGCCCGCAAAAAAATGTTTTTAAAAATACAAAGACCATGTACTTTCTCACTCAACTGAGAAAGAAAAAGGTGCCCGAAGAGAAACCAAACTTAGTTATAGTGCAATCGGCCCTGACAATGGCTTTTCACACACGCATTCAGAGCTCGGGGCATTTGAAACCCAACAGAAAACTTCATAAAGACGGAGCCCTGACTTTGTGCACCTGAGCAACGCTGTAGCCGCCCAGAAATGTGTAGCCTAAAGTATCTCGTTCTGTAGCAAAGTGCGATCTCTGCACAAAACTGCAGAGCTGGAACGTGTCCCCTGAGCACCGAGCGTCGGCCCTGGGATTGTTGTCACTAATTATTCAAGACGTGAGTTTCCAAAGGCAAACACCGAATTTGGAAACTGGTTCATTATTCATCTTCCTTGATGACTGGCTCAGCATACAGAATCTAGCCTCCAAATGTCTACCACCTAGTTTCTGTGAGCATTTTTTAGGATAAACAGAGAGGCATGACTCTGTCAAGCAAGCGGGCTTTCGTGTATAATATTTTGAAAACACTTGGCCAGAAGCAGACGTCGACAAGTTAAGACAGGTCTTTCTCCAAACTGCAACGTTCAGTTGTACCCATGAGCTCTCAGTCCTGGCACCAGTGATATCTTTGAGGGGACACCAAAATCAGAGAGATGGTGGCATGTTGATGCCTTTGAAGTTTCTTACCAGAATTCCCTGCATTATATCGTTAGGAGACAGAAGCAAGGCTGGCCTCTCATAGAAACAGGCCTGGCCTCTTGGTCTAGGTCATGTTCATGGAAACTACCTGGTGTAGGGAGCAAGAAGACCCCCCCCCCCAACTGTCCTAAGAGCCCCAGCCTTGACATGGAACTACAACATCCGGATTCGTTTTCCAGGCATCACGTATTAGTTATGCAGCCTTGGGCAAGTTATTATGCCGCCTTGGGCAAGTTATTTAACCCCCCTGAGCATCAGGCTTCCTCAGCTGTAAAGTTGAGATCACTCCTACCTGGAAGAATGCTGTAGGGTCCAGAGGTGACCACTGTGAAGGGCCTCATATACTTTCTCATACCTTTGGCCTTTATTTCAAAGGGAAACATCCTATGAGTAATGACTGGTTTTTCCCCCAGCAAAGTAACATGTATTTGGAAAATCTTCAGACAATATGGTACTTCCTCCAAGGCAAAGATGAGTTCTTTGTTTTTAGGAGATAATTTTACAGAAAGCCAGAATAACTACGTAAATGGCACCATGTTCGCTGGAGGATTCTTTTTAATATGTCGTTTTACCAGTACGGAAATAGGAATGGCCTGCTTTTTGAGTTCCACCCTGAGTTTGTTGTCTTCTCCCAAATAATTTCTGATTAACTCAAAACAGAAGGGGGAAATGTCAACAGGCCTCAGAACTTTGAGCGGGACAGTGGCTTCTTTCACTACATTCTTACACTGAAACCTCCTTTTAAAGTCATCGGAGGGAATGCTGTGAGGAAAAATGGCATCAAGCATGGGCGTAATGGGCAACAGTTTTTGTTTGCCTTTGCGTTTGTTTGTGATTGTGTTACTTTTACTGGAAGACACCATGCAAGCGTCACGGTTAATGGAGGGAGGCTGTCAGGAAGGCCTTGAATGTAAGAGTCAAGATCTGTGTGGAAACTCTGAACTTGTTACTCAGGAGCTTTAGAGCCCAGAGCAAGTCACTTAAACCTGATTCATCAGGGCACCTGGGTGGCTCGGTCGGTTAAGCGTCCGACTTCAGCGGCAGGGCATGGTCTCATGTTTTCTGGCTTTGATTGCCGTGTCGGGCTCTGTGCTGACAGCTCAGAGCCTGGAGCTGCTTCAGATTCTGTGTCTCCCCCTCTCTCTGCCCCTCCCCTGCTCACACTCTGTCCCTCTCTCTCTCTCGAAAATAAATAAACACTTTTTAAAAATCTGATTTTATCACTTATAACAGTCTCTGCCTTCTAGGGTCACTGCAAGGACCAAATAACCAATGCAGGGACACAGAGACAAGAGCACAGAACGGGAACCTGGCAGATCTGGGTGTGAAGTCTCTTTCCGCTGAGTAGCTGCCTTGTGGCTTTGGGGAAATTATCGAAACTTTCTAAAACTCAAATCCCTCATCCCAGAACAGGTTCTGTAATGTCTTCTTTGCAGGTTTGGTACAAGCATCACATGACAAAGCATACGGTGAGCTCCCCAGGGTGCTCAGGGGGGTAACGGGTTCCTGGGAGGATTTTCCTGGGAAAGCAGCTAGCCCAGTGCCGACAACCAACCACACGGGTACCCAATGCTCGTGTGATGCACGGTGGGGGAGGGGGGCGGTTCCCACCACATCTGATGATGTCCCCACAGGTGGTGGGAGGGCTCGGTCCTGGGCTCACACGGAACCTGGTGGGGTGAGGAGGACATGAGGGCTTCCACAAGCCCAGCCACTCCCACAAGTCTCCTGGGAATGCGCACCCTCGCCTGCAAGGGCGGCTTCCCTTTCCCACCACGCTGCAACATAATTTTTATGGCCCAGCTGATGATATCTGCAAAATGTCAGGCAGAAGCACAAAGTTCAAACGTTCTGCGAAATGGCTGCACACTAGAGAACAGGATCTCAAAACCGGGCTTACTTACGTGAGGTCCCAGCAAAGTTTCCGCCTAGGCTGTGGGACGTCGCACAGCACTGTAATTTAGAGGAGCGAAAATGAAGTCATTCTGAGTCTATTTCAATACCCACCGCATCCCTTACTTCTTTGGGCTATTTTGAGATGTTTATCACTAGCCCTTTACAAACAGAGGCTGGGAAGACCAAGACTGATTTTATTTGAAAGAAGTCATAATCCCTTGGGAAACAGTCAATGAACGTGTTTCTAAATATAAATTCCTACCCTCTGATAGGATTTGAAATGGAATCAGAGAACCTCAAATGTTTGTTAAGCAATAGTCTCCATGAAAGGATCAACCGAAGTTCGTTCAAAACGGGACGCTTCCAGAGGTAAATTGAAAATGACCAAGTTCTCGTTCACTCCAAGACAACTCACGTTTGCTACTTAGGTGTTCCGGGCCCCTCAATAAAGAAATCATTTTGGATAATTTACAAACGCTATTAGTAGCATTCTCTCATAGTCTTACTCAACCTTGCCGTAACAATACGACTTTCGTTGCTTTAATTAATCCCAGCCATTTAGAAATGGAAATGATTTCCTGCCCTTTCCTTTGTGCAAGTAGCACTGAAGACAGAAGCTCAGCGCAAGTCAGTGTCAATAAGGAGTAGATAGAATCGCGCCTTGGGGCGAGAGAGGTGGGAAAGGGAGTTTATGTTCTCGCACAAACCCTTGATGTTCTTTCTGTGAAATCAGAGTTGCTGGTCTACCTTTCGTATAGATTCTGAATATTCAAATATTCTGAAAAGGAAGAGTAAGGATATCTTTGTCCTGTGATGATGTTTTTCAAATAAATCTTTTGAATTTTGAATAAATAATAAATAAATATTCAAGTTCAGGAGAATGTCTGCACCCACACAGCCGGGAAAGGAGCAGTGCTGCCAGCCGGACCTGAGCCGCTCAGGCAGTACGTGCTCCCCACAGCCCCCCCTCCCTACCCAAGTGGGCCTCACAAAACACCATACCCTTCTCACCCAGAAGTAAAGGCTTTCCTATGCCCAAACAATCTCACTTTTTCTAAAACGAGGCCTCTCAGGGAAGCCTGGGTGGCTCAGTTGGTTAAGCGCCGGACTTCAGCTCAGGTCATGATTTCACGGTTCATGAGTTCGAGCCCCGAGTTGGGATCTGTGCTGCCAGCTCAGAGCCTGCTTTGGATACTCTGAATCCCTCTCCCTCTGCCCCTCCTCTGCTTGCTCTCTCTCTCTCTCTTTCTCAACAATAAATAGACAAACTTAAAAAAAGATTAAAAATAAAATAAGATAGCTGGAGAACATCCGCTTTCTGGTTACTCCTTGTGCACTAGACTGAGCGTCCCTTTGCTCTGCTAGTGGGAGAGCCCGCGTATGTTCTAGAAATGGAAAAGACCATTTTGAAATGGGCACCGCTAACCCCAAACCACTGTGACTATCTGTACAGTTTTAATACAGAAGAAGCTACAAGTGTCCTCTCTGCCCTGACATGGCAAATATAATACAAATACAAGTGGGCTTGACTTCATCAGGAGCACTTTCCATGAGAAAATGCGTATCGGTGTTGAATCCGGTTCTAAAAATATCTCCTGCATCCCTGTCTCTCTTGCAGCCTTAAATTCATGAGTGCACGATCCAAAACCCACATTGGGCTTTGTTTCTGAGAACTCCTAAGTCTGTAGTTTGCCCCTTCAGTTCCAACGCTGATGAGGGTGATAAAGCAGGATGCAAAGTCAAGTCCAGAAGACAGCTTAGCACCAC